CGAGCTATCCGGTCCAGTACAGATCGCCTCATATTGCGCCGCCACCGGATTAGATCGAACAACCGATCAGGAGATGTGAAGTCTCAGGTGAAAAAAAGGGAAGGAAAAAAAGGGCCGTGGGCCAAATTTGAGTTTCAATTGGGCAGCCATTTGTTTTTCCTTTTTTTCTGGAGTTTGGGCTGATTTAGTTTTTGGGCTGAGTTTTCTGACGAAATTACCAAGATCTGAAATTAGTTGTACCGGGTATCTCGTCTAGTCGTTTTGAGATGGCAGAAGATGGGAAGTTCCGAATTGAAAAGTTAGATGGTACGGATTTCAGTTGGTAGAAAATGCAAATTGAAGATTTGCTAGTTCAGAAAGATTTGGACGTGGTATTGGGTGACAAACTAGAAAAGATGTCAGATGCAAATTGGACAGGTTTGGATCGGAAAGTTATGTCCGTAATCTGTCTCTCGTTGACCAAGAATGTTGCGTTCAACATTCTGAAGGAGAAGACAACGAAGGAAATTATGGAAGTGCTGTCTAACATGTACGAGAAGCCATCTGTAGCGAACAAATTTTTTCTGATCAGAGAGCTAGTGAACACAAGGATGAAAGAAGACACTTCAGTTACCGAGCATATCAACAAGTTGAATTCGATCTTAGCCAGACTTTGTCAGTGGGCATTAAGTTCGATGATAAAGTTCAAGCTTTGCTACTGCTATCGTCTTTACCTGATAGTTGGTCTGGAACGGTTACAACGGTTACTGGTTCAGTGGGACCCGAGCTATCCGGTCCAGTACAGATCGCCTCATATTGCGCCGCCACCGGATTAGATCGAACAACCGATCAGGAGATGTGAAGTCTCAGGTGAAAAAAAGGGAAGGAAAAAAAGGGCCGTGGGCCAAATTTGAGTTTCAATTGGGCAGCCATTTGTTTTTCCTTTTTTTCTGGAGTTTGGGCTGATTTAGTTTTTGGGCTGAGTTTTCTGACGAAATTACCAAGATCTGAAATTAGTTGTACCGGGNGGTTACTGATAGAACCAAAAAAAATCTGCCCAAAAGCTTTTTCACCATTCACAAATTTGAAAAATGGATGAAGGGTAATCCTACCGCTAGTGAATGGAAAGTTAAGTATTTCAAGGTATAATATCTTTGACAACATTCCTTAACAATATTTTTTATTAATAGTCCTTAATATGTTATTATTGTTGATATCCTAATATATTATTTTTTTGTTTGTTTGTTATTCTTGTACTTTAGAACCACCAATGTCCCATAAGAAGTAAAGATTCTATGTTTGTCATTTTCTACTCCGGATAGCTCTATTTTTCTTTGAAACCCTTTATACCAAGGAGTAAGACATTCTATATCTTTGTCTTTCAACTCTATTTCTTCTACTCCTCTAACTTCTGCTTCTTTCTTTTTCTCAATGTTATCATTCAAAAGTTTCTTAAGGCGGTCAATGATATGTCTGGGGTTATAGCATGGAATGATCGAACGAACCCAGTCCCGAGCCCCAAACGACCATTAACAAGAATAAGTGGTCTTATAGGCATATATCTAGAGAAAAATAACAATGCATCAATAATATCACATCATCTAAACACATATATTCATGTAGACACACACAAACACACACCCACACCCAAATATAAAGTGCAAGATAGAATGCTACCATTCTTGCTCCACTCGTTCTCCATCTTGTTCCAAGTTATTGAGTAGGCAATCGTCAGTTTCGGGAAATAGAACCCGTGCAAGTTTTAGACTTCGATACCTACACTCTCCATGAGTGTTTCGTCCCTGTACAAAATTTAAGATTAAGTATGTCTCAACAAAAATTTGATTTTCTTTTAGGGATATAACAAATTAAGAAGAAAAAAGTAACCCCATGACGATTTCCGAATTCACCATCGGGTAATAGAATATTGATATTATGGCATCAAAATAATTCCGGCACATACCCAAAATGACATCTATAAGGCTCTCATTGCCATGATGGTAGCATGTCACAGTTAAAACGTGACCCACAAACTTTCATGGAGTCACATAATTTCATCATGAATGCTGTGAATAGAACATTCCTATGTGTCATTGCCCATCCATCCACAACACTAGGAATCGTTCTCCGAATATGAGCCCGGGAAAATGAATAAACTCCTTATCAAAGAATCCAAAGTACTCCAATTCCGTCAGCTTTTCATCGTCAAAATCAATACAAGCCCCATCCATTGGGCTATACTCAACCCATTCTTTCTCCGTTCTTTACTCTTTCTTTACCAAAAGCAAGCTTAAAGAACATATTTTTTTGGTCATTTGATTTCCAAACAAAATATTTCTGACACCGAGCAAGATTTTGAAAGTAGTCTTTACCATCGTTAGGAGAACTATCAGCCAATCCCTAAAGACTAAAGTACAAGAATAACAAACAAACAAAAAAATAATATATTAGGATATCAACAATAATAACATATTAAGGACTATTAATAAAAAATATTGTTAAGGAATGTTGTCAAAGATATTATACCTTGAAATACTTAACTTTCCATTCACTAGCGGTAGGATTACCCTTCATCCATTTTTCAAATTTGTGAATGGTGAAAAAGCTTTTAAGCAGATTTTTTTTGGTTCTATCAGTAACCTGTAGTTGCAAAGATAAGTGATAAAATCAGATGAAGAAACATTTCTTCTAATAAACAATAATGATGATTGAATCAAAGTAGTTACCTTGATAATAAGAGTGATGAACTGGGACATAAAAGGAGGTTTAATCTTTAATAATTCTGACCAAAATGTGTGAAACACAATAACACATTAAGAATTAAACCCTTTATGTGTGATTCGTCATGGTCCTACACAGACCACACATCAAAAAACAGGCAAGTTAGTTGGGTAAAGCTTAGTTGACTAAAGAGGAGATTATTGGTGTCATTTTATTTAGCTTAACACTGTGTATGTAGTGTTGGGAATTAAGCACACAACACACACAAATAATTTGTGAGAAAAACGAGAGAAATGAAACACGGACGACACACAAGAATTTAACGTGGTTCGGTTTCC